TAATACACATTTAGCTAATTTTATAAGTTAATTTCCTTAATTATGATATAGGCATTTAGAAATTTAAATTAAGAATTTAACTTTAAATTTTTTAATTAAGAGTATGAGTTTACATAGATTTTAAAATGAAATTTTCTTAATGAGTAACTAGTATAACAATCAATGTGTATAATTATAGCATTAATCACAATTCTATATAAAAAAAAAAAAAAAAAAAGTACACATTTTCATAGCTTACAAAATATTATAAATATAATATATGTCCACATAAATAGATAGGAAGAGACATTGATAATACTTTTGTTATTATATATATAACAACAAAAATATTTGGAAGTATCATCAAAAACGAAAGACCTCCGCTATAATTAACTCATTGAGAAAATTAATAATTTTAAAAAATTAAAAAGACTAAAATACCATGACCTAAATTAGGATTTTACGATAGAATCATCAGAATGATCAACAGTATCCAAAATATGATAGTTTAAGGTGTTAAATGACAAAAACACAATAGTCGAACTAAATTTGAAATTTCCCCTAAATTAAAAACAATGGACATCAACGGAAATTAACTCTTTCATTTAATTCAAACTCGACACAAACTATGAAATTAGCTCAAATATAAGTGATGTAAGTGTAAATAGAATAAATAACTCTGCAAATGGATTGATAGGGTGATGGATAACTAGTAGGCCAATGCCAATAGCACATAATTCACATATTTTGCATTACACCAAAACAGTACGTAAAATATACTTCACACAAAAACACTGTAACTCTATTCATATTCACTTTCCGGGAACGAAGTTTGTGGCATAGGCCCAGGCGTTGTTGTTAACAGGGTCGGCAAGGTGGTCGGCGAGGTTCTCCAATGGGCCCTTTCCGGTAACAATGGCCTGAACGAAGAATCCGAACATGGAGAACATGGCAAGTCTGCCATTCTTGAGCTCCTTCACCTTGAGCTCGGCGAAAGCCTCTGGGTCGTCAGCGAGACCCAATGGGTCGAAGCTGCCACCGGGGTAGAGTGGGTCGGTGATCTCTCCGAGGGGTCCGCCGGCAATACGGTAACCCTCAACGGCTCCCATCAACACAACTTGGCATGCCCAGATGGCCAAGATGCTCTGTGCGTGGATCAAGCTTGGGTTGCCCAAGTAGTCAAGACCTCCCTCGCTGAAGATCTGAGCTCCGGCCTTGAACCACACTGCCTCGCCGAACTTCACGCCGTTGCGGGACAACAGCTCCGGGAAAACGCATCCAAGGGCTCCCAGCATCGCCCATCTGGAGTGGATCACCTCCAGCTCGCGGTTCTTGGCGAAGGTCTCTGGGTCAGCAGAGAGGCCAGCAGTGTCCCATCCGTAGTCGCCGGGGAACTCTCCGGTCAGGTAGCTTGGGGGCTCGCCGGAGAATGGACCCAAGTACTTAACACGGTCTGGGCCGTACCATGGGCTGCCGGATGAAACAGGTTTAGCAGCGCCCTTCCTCATGGTAAACTTGGCGTTTCCGGTGATTTCTGGTGTGGAAGGCGAGAGCTTCACTGCCTTTCCGGCGAAAGAAGGGGAAGAGAGAGCCATTGTAGCAGCTGCCATTGTACTTCTTTAGAAGTGAAATGCAAAGACTAGCTACTGAATTGAATAGCTCCGATCCTTTGTGGCTTGATGAGTTTCATGGTTCTTTCCACTACAGCCTATATATACGACATGGATGCCCAAATTGCTTAGCTTTTGGATCATAAACTTTAATTTTATTGGTTGATCAATCTTTGACAGATTGATAATGCAAGTCCATTGGCCATCTCTAGCACCACAAATATCCTTAGATTAAAAATGTCGATCTAGCAAAAAGAAGATACCAGTTGCTGCAGCCAATTGGGTGTTGCCATGTGTTCAATTGGATTTGTGCAATATCTTCCCAATAATCTGCACATAATACAAGAAAAATACCTATGAATTTATCTAAATTTACATATTTTATTTGCCAACTACCCTGTATTGATGGCATCTCAGGTTTGAATGGCGGTTGTGAGGGCAATATAGAGGAATGATACTTTTACCTTGTAAAGAATTATAAGTATTTAAAAAAAATAGATATTTTATTTTTTAGTTATGAAATATATTAGAAAATAAAATACGAAAGAATTTTATTTATTTATTTATGGGAAAATGACATTTTTCCCCCTAAGTTATATACTTATAGTACTTTTTCCTCCTCAATTATTTTAAAAGTGGTAGTGTTTCCCCCTAATATATTAAATTGACATTTCTACCTTTAAAGTAAATATTTTATTTATTTTACTTCTCCAACAAATTATTGCGTATATGTAGCGATGACCACGGTTCGGTTCGAACTGAACCGGACGCTATAACAATCAAATTAAAAATTTCCAGTTATGATTCAGATCTAGAACCCAATATTTGGATTTCAGTTTATTAAATTTATAAATAAAAAAAATTGGATCCTGAACCATGAACCTGTGGTTCCGGATCCGGTTCGCGATTTTGAACCGTCTTTATTTTAAAATATTCTAAATTCAACAATAAATGTATTTTATTTTTTCAATTCGAAACATGAACCGACCATTCCGGTCCGTGATTTTAATATACTCTAAATATCGCATTTTGATTCTAAATTGTAATTGGAATATTTTGGTTTGGTTGCTATAATATCTGTTTGGTTTGAACCAAAATATAGTAATAATTTGTTGGAGAAGAAAAATAAATGAAATATTTATTTTAAGGGTAAATATGTCCAATTAACATTTCAGGGGGGAAAAAGAGCCACTTAAATAATTCAGGGAAAAAAAGTGCTATAATTATATAACTCAGGGGGAAAAATTGTCATTTTCCCCTTTATTTATAATTTTTGTTAATAAATTCAATTATTTCGGTAAGAAATATAATATATATAGAACAACTTCTAAATTTAGCTATGTTTTGCTCGTCATTATTTACTGACCTTGCAAATTGCAGTGTTCTTTGATAGTAGATTATATTTAGAGCATTCCATTGGCTATTTCTCAATTCTCATGGATTGTTTTTAAGGGGGGTTGGCGTTAATGTTAATTAAGGAAATGTTTGGTTCACCCAAAAGAAATATACTTATGAATTTATCTACATTTAATTCACAAATTTTATTTGATTTAGTAATTAATCGAGAGATTTTTTTTTTTTTTTTTGAGATAATAATCGAGACATGTTATAAAACAATATTATTATGTAATGAATGTTAGTATTATGTACTCTGAACGCTATAACCCTAACAACAAGTTATAGGTTGAATATAATGTAAGCCAATTTGTAATAATCATATGTAATGAAACAATAAGAAATAAAATAGAAGAACTTCTAAATTTAGCTTTGTCATGCTTAGAATGATGTACCAATTTTGCATGTTCTTTGACAGTGGATTAAATTTAGAGCATCCCCATTAAATTTAGGGAGAGGTTAATGTTTTAAAAGAAAATACAAATTAGTTTGTTTCCCTTCCTTTCATATCATTACTCTAGCAGTCTAGCTTAGAGCATATTAGCATTAGATAAAGGATTAGTAACACTTACCAAGGCATCAACTTTGGAGTTCTTCATCTACTTTTTATATAATTTATCTTTAATTTCATTTTATTGCTCGTACCCTATGTTTATGCATTCTATTTATGTTTTCATTTTATGTATGCTAAATATATGTAGGTAGTTTCGTTTAATCTATCTAGATGCTTTATTTGTAGTTCTTGCATACAGGGGGAGGGGGCCAGGGGGTGGATCTAGTTAGGGGTCTTGATGTTTGTGAAGAAATTGTGCTTATGTCTTGTTGATGTATGGTGTGCAACACTCATTGGATAGCCCTTTGGAGAAAATTCAATCACGTACAATAAGAGTTGGATTGAATTTCCAAGCCAATCCTTGCACAAATTCTATTTCCCACCATGAGAATAAGGGATAGGGGAATTTTAATTGCTTTCTCATTCCCCCAATCCTATGGGTTCTTTTGCATCTAAAAGATTATACTCCCTAACCTGAGCTCTTACTTTTATTAATTGCTTTTTAATCTCATTTTATTATATTGCTCTTTGTTTATTTCCCCATTGATTATTACATGATCCTATCACCATTATATTCATTGTCCTTAGCTTCTCTACTTGCTTCCTAACTTGGTGACTAGTACTTAGATGTCGCATTTAACGTACCACAACATTTAATCCCTTGATAACGACTTTTTACTCGTTCATTATTTTATACATCAATAACTAGTCCGCAATAGATAACCACAATTTCATAAAGTCCAAATATAAAAATCTAACAACACAATTTCAATAGAACTTGTAGAATCAAAACCAACCAATAATACATTATAACAATGTCTAAAATAACTCCAAGTCACCAAAACCAATTAAGGCTTCAACATAATGTGTGCCTTCCTCTTTAGAATCACCCTACACAATAAAAGAATAAGTTGAAAATGAATAACTAGTCCATTACAAGTTAAAGTGCTCATATATAACTATTAACTAATAAGTGTAATATAAAATAAGAATCTTATCTTTTGTTTTTTCTTCATCACATATATATTTGTTACAAGGCCAATCCCCACAGCAAATAAGAGGTTCAATTTATTGTGCATGTAATCTAGCATGATATTCATCAATCACCCATCCCCTACCACTAAATTTGGTTCGGATGCCATGCTTGAAATAGGGATAGCTAATATATTAGTTGTAATCTTTGATAAAATTTTACATTTTTGTACAATTACCCTTCCACCTCTCTAAAGCACAAAAAGTTGAAGAATAAAGAAGAAAAGGATCACCCTGAAGATAAGTTTCCAATTTTGATTTAGTAGTAATAGGATAATAGATAATATTAGAGATAATAATGGACTCAAGTGTGAGAGTCCTAGTAGCCTTCTACTTCTAGCTTATATTATCGGTATCAGTTATTATTCCTGATTATTGAATACAAAATTACGTTACACTCATCTGGTATCAATCGCTTTGTTACGATTCTGATGGCTTCCGTTCGCCCCACACTATCCGATGAGTCTTCCGAACGTACGGTTTCTACCGGACCCTCTGCCTCTCCGGTGGTGGCGCCTCCCACTCTCTCGTCGGCGCACCACTTCGTCTCCATCAAACTATCCTCTAAAAATTACTTGTTTTGGCGTACTCAGATGGTGCCCTTTTTCTGCAGACAAGGGCTGCTCCGGTTTGTTGATGGCTCGCATGAGTGTCCAGCGGTGGTGACCTCCACCTCCGACGGAGTTATCTCGGTGGATAACTCGGCTGTTCTTGTTTGGGAGCAGCAGGATCAAGCCATTTTGTCGATGCTTGTTGCGTCATTGTCGGAGGAAGTGATGTACCTGATAGTGGGGTACTCTACTTCGCGTCAAGTCTGGCAGGCCATCGAAGGTTAGGCCTTCTCAGTCAGTTGCAGGGGTTACGCCAAGGAGATAGCACACTTGCGGATTTCCTAGGTCGTGCGAAGGTGACTGTGGAAGAGTTTGCCATGGCCGGCCCCCCGGTTTCACTCGATGAGCAGAATTTGTATGTTTTCCGAGGCTTGCGGCCGGAATTCCGGGCTATGGCATCTTCTCTCGTCACCTCGAGTAATTCGGTCACCATTTCTCAATTATCTGATTTTTTGTTGGCTCAACAATTCATCTACAGTGATGATTTCTCCTCGGCTATGGAGTCCCAACCGGCGACTATGGTGTTGCAGCGAGGTGGTGGCCGCCGATCCGGTTCTGGTGGTTCTGGACATGGTGGTCGTTGAGGTATCCGTGGTGGCGGTCGTGGTGGTCGTGGACCCCGGTGTCAGATCTATCGTAGCCACGGCCACACTATCGCGTTTTGCTTCCGGCAATACTCCGAGCAGCCGCCAGCTCCTTCGGAAGTTGGACTGACGGGGACGGAGCCCTACCATGGTTCGGATACGCTACGTGTCGATAGCAGTGAAGGTTTGTCTATTACTTGTATCAGTCATGCCTGTGTTTCGTCTCCTGTTTCTAATTCTCTTAAATTGTCTAATGTGCTTATTGTTCATGGTTTATCCAATCATTTAATTTCTGTTCAGAAGTTTTCTCGTGACAATCGTGATTACTTTGATTTTTTTCCATCTTATTTTGTGATTAAGGACATCGCTACCAACACCATTTTGCTTAGGGGGCCGAGTTCTGGGGGGTTGTACTCGTTGCGGCTTCCTATGTCGTCACCCACGACGTTTCTTTCTGCTCGGGCTCCATCTAGTGTGTGGCACAGTTGTTTGGGGCATCCCCATTTTCGTATGTTGAATAAAGTATTGCAGCATTGTCCTGTTAGTAAATTTGATGTTAGTTCGTCTACTATATGTTCATCGTGTCAGTTAGGGAAATCATCCCGTTTTCCCTTACCCCGTATTAATTCTTCTAGTCAGGCTGTATTGGACTTGATTTATACGGACATTTGGGGTCCTGCCCCAGTATTATCTGTTTCGAGTTATCGTTATTTCGTTTTGGTTGTTTCCTTTACGGCTTAAATCTGATCTGTATGCTGTTTTCAATACTTTTCACATGATGGTTGAGCGACTGTTTTCCCGCAAAATTAAGGGCGTTCAGTCTGACTTGGGGGGCGAGTATAGCAAATTGTCGTCTGTTTTCTCGTCCCTCGGTATAGTTCATCGCCAGTCATGTGCGTATACACACGAGCAGAATGGCCGTGTTGAGCGTCGTCATCGAATGTGGTTGAAACTGGTCTTGCCCTGTTGGCTCAGGGGTCAGTTCCTTTGAAATATTAGGACTTTTCCATTGAGTCGGCCGTGCTTTTGATTAATCGTCTGCCCTCGTCTGTTTTACAAATGCATAGTCCGTACTATACACTTTTTCAATCTGAGCCTTCTATGTCTTATCTTAAAGTGTTTGGGTGTTTATGTTACCCTTATCTTCGGCCATACAATAAGCACAAATTTGCTTTTCGGTCGTCTCCTTGTGTTTTCTTGGGATACCCGTCTTCGTTTCGTGGGTATCGGTGCATGGACCTTGATACGGGTAAAATGTTTACATGCCGACATGTCGGGTTTGATGAGGATATGTTTCCCTTTGCTAAATGCTTTGTGCAGGACCGTTCCTAGGATTGCTGTGTTGGTGACCCGTGGGGTGTTAGTCCGATTGTTGTGCCGTCACCTGTTGGGTTGCCTCAACCGCGTACGGGTGCTATACTACCGGCTGGTCACGGTGTTGTTACGAGTAGGCCCAAGCGCCGAGCCAGGGCGGTGCCGCCGCCCCACTCTCATTCTATGCATTTGCGGCACATGGAGCATACTGAGCCTCTTCAGGCTTTGGTGGCTAGCTTGGGTGATCCTTCATGTTATTCCCAGGCCGTCTTACATCCGGAGTGACGTGTTGTGATGGATGAGGAGTTCAATGCGCTCCTCCATAATCACACTTGGTGACTGGTTCCGGCTACGTCCGACATGAATGTCGTGGGGTTCAAATGGTTGTACCGGACCAAGCGTAAGGCTGACGGTTCAGTTGAGCGGTATAAGGCGCAGTTGGTTGCCAAATTAAAGGCTTTAATCAGGTTGCCGGGGAGGATTTCTTTGACACCTTCAGCCCAGTGGTCAAGCCTACTACCGTGGTTGGACTCTTCAGCAACTGGACGTGCATAACGCCTTCCTTAATGGGCGCTTGGCTGAATCTGTGTTTATGAAGCAGCCTCCAGGCTATGTTGATCCGGCTTTCCCGGAACATGTGTGTCATTTGTAGCGATCTCTTTATGGTCTGAAGCAGGCTCCGCGGGCTTGGTTTAGGCATCTGCATGATTATCTGCTCTCAGTCGGGTTTAAGTCGTCCAAGACCGACGTTTCTTTATTTTATTATAATTTTGCAGGGGCACAGGTTTTCTTGCTTGTATACGTCAACGACATCCTTTTGATGGGTATTGATTCGGCTTTGGCTGATTCGCTATTGAGGCAGCTTGCTACAGCCTTTAAGATTCGTGATCTGGGTTCCCCGAGCTTCTTTCTCGGGATATAGCTGGTTCCTATTGATGGTGGTTTTGTGTTGTCTCAGCACCGTTATATGTCTGATATTTTGACTCGGGCTAGTATGGTGGACTGTAAGCCACTTGCTACTCCTCTGTCGGTTGCCCGGTCGTTTGAGATTTCTACTGAGCCTTTTGCAAGTCCCACACAGTATCGGAGTCTGGCGGGTGCGTTGCATTACTTGACCGTCACTCGACCGGATTTGTCATATGCTGTCAATCAGCTCTATCAGCATATGCAGTCTCCCACAGTTTCTGACTGGGTTATGTTGAAGCGTGTTCTTCGCTATGCCAAGGGTACATTGGATTTTGGTTTGCGTCTTCGGCCTTCGTCTCACTCTACTTTGCATGCGTACTCAGACTCGGATTGGGCCGGGGATCCGGCAGACCGAAAGTCTACCAGCGGGTTTGTTGTTTATCTTGGTTGCAACTTAGTTTCTTGGGTATGTCGCAAGCAGCGCATGGTGACTCGGTTGTTGACTGGGGCTGAGTATAAGGGCTTAGCTGATGTGGCTGCAGAGGTTATGTAGATTGTGTCCTTGTTGACTGAGATTGGCTTACCGGTTTCTTCACCGCCGACCCTTTGGTGTGATAATCTCGGGGCTACGTACATGTGCGTCAATCCTGTTTTCCACGCCCGTACGAAGCATGTGGAGGTCGATTACCATTTCGTCCGTGACAAGGTCTGTTCTGGTGTCTTCAAGGTTCATTATGTTTCTACTCAGGAGCAAGTTGCTGACATTTTTACTAAACCGCTCGCTGCTAAATGATTCGGGGTTTTTCGTGACAAGCTTAATGTTATTTCTTTGACACCTTAAGCTTGAGGGGGTGTAATAGGATAATTGATAATATTAGAGATAATAATGAACTCAAGTGTGAGAGTCCTAGTAGCCTTCTACTTCTAGCTTATATTATCTGTTTCAGTTATTATTCATGATTATCGAATACAGAATTATGTTACATTCATCAGTAGGAGGAATTGATTGGATTTGATGAACCATATTCAACAATTTTTGCACCCCTTTATACTTTTGTGCAACATCACCCATATATAGTTGTATCATCAACATCCACTTCACCACTAGCTAGGTCCACTAGTAGAGGAAGAGTCTTCATTATACAAGTTTACGTACATAATCAAGATATAATTCTTTTAAAGCTTTTTTTTTTTTGCCTTTATTCACATTCCATTAAATTAACCTCCTTTTGTGTTTTATACAATAAGAAAAAACTTATCTTAAAGCATTTACTTTCATCTTTGGATCCAAAACACATACAATAGCCATTAAAAAATTAAATTGCAGTTCGCCTAATATTTATCAAAATTTTCGTTCATGGGTATTGACATCTCACTCAGGAACATGTCAAAAAAACTAAATCCTATCAATAATTTTTTTACCCCTGAACTCCAACAAGATATAAGTTAGAAGTAGGGTTACTATCTGAGATGTCATGAGTGGCATCATAAAAAACCTTCCAAGAGACAACAAACCTAGCTTCTCAATCTTTTCTCAATCCTCAAATGATAATGTGTTCTTATAATGTTGATATTTTTCATTGTAATCTGAAAAGGCATGATTTACTTTAATTGCAGTAACCAACATCAAGAACATGGACTTAAATACAAATGAATTTTATTGATTTTTTACAATTTTTTCGTTAATAAATTCAATTTTTCTTGGAAGAAATACAATATATTGAAGAAATTCTAAATATAATTTAGCTTTGTACTGACCTTACAATTTTTCTTGACATTATCTACTGACCTTGCAAATTGCAATGTTCTTTCACAGTAGATTACATTTAGAGTATTTCATTGGCTATTTTTCATGGTTTTTTTTAGGTGGAGGGGGTGCTAATTAATATTAACTTAGGGGGTGTTTGGATCACGGAATATTAGAAGGAAAATATCTATGAATTTATCTAAATTTTTTTACATATTTTATTTGATTTAGTTAATTGGGAGATTTTATAAAACAATAATATGTAATGTTAGTATTAATCCGAACGCTATAACTCTAACGTCAAGTTATAGGTTGAATGTAAGTCAATTTGTAAGAATTAAATGTAATGAAACAATAAGCAAGAGCTTATTAGGGAGGTCAATAGTAATTCTCCCCAACATATATGTAATGAATGGGATTGTGGTAAAGTTTGTTGGATGAGCGTATTAGCATTTTGTTGATCCAATTTTCAGATTAATCTTGAATGTTTTATTTGTTTGTTTTCAAGTACTCTACTTGAATTATTGGTATTGTAACCCATTTTTTATATCCGTCTCACATGACAGCTACTCCTTTTGAAATTATACTATTGAGTACAAATTACTTTTAAAACTTCTAGTATGCTAAATACAAGCAGCCGTTATATCGTGGACCGCGGTGCATAATCGATTATGTACCGCGCATCAAAACGGCGCCGTTTTTTTAAGTAAAGAAACGGCGCGCTGTTAGTGTTAACGGAGTGACACTACAGTGTATCTAAAGCGACACTGTATCACGTATTATTTTTACATTATCAAATGAAACTGCAGTTATATCAAAATGATATTGTAGTTGTGGTGAAATGAAACTCCAGTATATATAAAATGAAATTGAATAATACTTCACATATTTGAGTGTATATTGTACAATGAAGCTGTAATTATATCGAAATGATCATGTAGTTGTGTTTTAATGAAACTATAGTGTATATAAAATAAAATTAAATAACATTTTCACATATTTGAGTGTATAAATATTGAATGAAACTGTAGTTTTATCGAAATGAAATTGTAATTGTGTTGAACTGAAACTGCAGTGTATACAAAATGAAACTGAAGAACATAGTTATTTTTTGCCGAACGGCGCGAAACAGATTCCATTTCTTTTCAATAAATAAAACGACGTCGTTTTGATGCGCGGTGCATAATCGATTATGCACCGCGGTGCACGATATAATTTGCCAAATACAAGAGAGTAAATCAATTATTTTGTGATTTTCGATCTATTATATTATTTATATGAAAGATCACTTGATTTCAATATTTCATCATTGTGGGGACATTTAGACTATGTTTGGCAAACTTAACTGAAAAGGTAGCTGAAAGTTGAAAAGTAGTGGAAAGTTGAAAAGTTATAAGCTAAACGCTGAAAACTGAAGAGCAGTTAAGCTAGCTGATCTATACTATATATGAAAACAAAATCATCAACTTAACTTTCCGCCAAAATCCTCAAATTTTAATATATTGTTTTCTACTTTCCTATTCGTACTATAATACATTAAAATTTCATTCTAATATTGTAAAATAGTGTAATACAATTCCTAATAGAATATATTCTTTCCTACTTTTCTATTCGTACTATAATTCTACATTAAAATTTCTATTCTAATATTGTAAAATAGTTTAATACTTTTTTTTTTTGAAAATGTAAAATAGTTTAATACAATTCCTAATACAATATATTCTTTCCTATTTTTCTATTCGTACTATAATTCTATATTAAAATTCCTATTTGTAATACATTAGGACAATATTAAAATACTACTAAATAATCCGTGTGTGATAAATAAATTTGGCAGTACAAGCAACATATATTATAATTATTGTTAATTTTATTGTTTTTTTTTAAATCAATTAATTTTATCGTTACTGTAACATATATATAATATTGGAACATATGTCAGTCAGAAAGAGATGATTGAGTAGTAAAATAGTCAAACATAATATTAGCAATACAACAATATTAAAATTCATATTTCCATTCAACAATATTATATTATTCCTTTTCCCGTTAAAAATTATATTCTCTATTATTAGTTTTATAATTATCCGTTAATTCTCTGTTAAATTTACTAAATTTCAAACTCCCATTGAAACTCAACTGCATGGCTAAATTATTAAGATTTAAATAAAAAAATCTTTAAAAACATGCATGCTTAATTCCCAGTTAAAATCAAACTCAATCTCCCAACTCCATGTTGTACTCAATCACCTATAAATATAGCCCAAAACCCAGCACTCCATCACCAAGACTGAAACAGAAGATTGAGGAAGAACAATTTTTACCTTGGCTTTTCAATTTGGAGTATTCCATTCTATTAACTTTAGTTTCTATAGGTGAAATAAGGATTACAAGTTCTTTTTTTGGTAATTATGCAGTTTATGTTTTTTTAATGTTGCAGTATAAAATGCTATATTCATGTTTTAGTTTTCTTTTATATTTATTTATTAATTTTTTTCTATTATAGTTGTTTCTCTTGAATTTTAACAATTTCATTCTTTTTATTTTTAAATCTTATTTTAATTTGTAACTAATTTCAAGTTTTTCAAGCACCTATTCTTCCAAGTAGGTGATTGCATTAGAATCAAACTATTTGGATGGTTGAATTATTCTTTTGCAGGGAATTCAAATATCATAGGACATATATAGCTAATTTGGTGGTTAGAGTCCATGATGATGTTTTTCTACACAGCTCTTTAGTTTTTCATTATTTTTTGGATGTATATTATAGGTTTGAGTTCTATAATATTGTAAAGTATTGAGAATATGTACTTTTGATAATTCTTATGTTTTGTTAATAGACTATTATAGGTTTGAGTTGTATTGTAAAGTATTGAGAATATGTACTCTAAACTTTAAAAAGTATATTACTAATTATTTCTATACTTTGAACATACCTTGACAAACTATATATCCTCATTGTTTATTTGCAGCCTATGGTAAGTTTAAATATCTGCAAGTAATTAACAAGCTCAAATTTTATTAAACTTTCAATTTCATATTGATACTGCTAATTATACGTAAGCAATATGAAATAACTCGAGACCAATTAAAGCAAATAAATGTCTTTATTGATCACGGTAGAGGCCCTAAGTACAATCTACTTGGTTGCTCTGAGTGCCGACCGACTGCGGTCGGGATTCTCTAACAACCTATCGATCGTCCAAAAGTCCCCTACACCGTGGCTACTGTGGGTATTTATAGCCGCTATGCCGGAGACAAGAATCCGGTCGTTCGGCATGCTCTCCACGTAGCCTCCACGTGTCATCCTCCCGGGTGCCCTATCTGTCGTCGTAGAGAACCGCCACGTGTCCTTTATCAGCTCTCTCGCCGAAGGGCTACCGCTCGGTGGTTGACAATGCCGCTCGGGCAACTCCCGGTCGGACCCCGACCGGGTTCTTTATAAGGAGCCCGACCTGCTACCTGCAAAGACAAAGAGAAAAAGACGAAGGTACCTCGGTCGTGGTGAAGCCATGTCGGTCGGGATATTCCCTACCAAGAGCCCCCCAGCCCGGGCCTTTTTGACCGTCCGGGAAAAAACGGGACGGGATGAAGAAGCCCAACCGTCGGCCATCAAACCGACCCGCCAGCTGTCATTCCTCTCCTCGCCACGTGTCGGCCGCTGCCGGCCTCTGCGACTGCAACAGTCGCCTCGGAATCAGCGCGGGTCGCGTCAAGCAAGTGGGCTCGTTTCCCGCCTAAATGCTCTCCTATAAATAGGTCCTTGAGGCCCTCATTTGAACTTTCCTCACTCTTTTGCTTCAGTC